GAGGGCATCAATCATCATTTTCAAAAAAAAAAAGGAAAAATTAATAGATATTATTGATAAAAAGAATATAGTATGAATACCTTTAATGAGTTTTCTCAAGCAAAGGTTGGCACTTTAAGAAGAAACATGCAAAGATGGATGCGTAATAATCTAGTACCAATGAGAAAATGTGTTTATGCATGCAAAGATAGGCACCTAGGAAGTAAAGGGACTAATGCAGATAACTAAAACCTATACGACTGGATTAGCTTGGTTCCTGTGCCCATAAGAAATTATAGTCTTCACAAATATTGTTGGAACTTTGAGTACGAGCCCACATGCCTAGTCTGAGAAGGAGCAAAGTGGGGAATGCAATATAGGATATTGCTAGAGCGAGCATATGCCGATATGGATAGTGCAAGCAATTATTTCCTTATTGTTCTTAGAAAAGCTAGGCATCACTTTCACAATTCATTTTTTTTAGTGTCTTTTATCACTAAGTACACTCGATAAATGAAAGAAACTTTGCAAGATTGATGTCATGATTGATTTTCATATCTTACACTTTATATAATGAAAATAGTAGAAGTTGCAAATGCTTGAATTTTTTGGGTTCTTGTTATCTCACAATAGAAGCCTGATCGAACATTCAGCCCTCAGTTACCCAAAAGTAATTCACATGTATTATTTGAATGTAGTTGGCACTCTATGATATGCTGATGCTTAATCCATTGAAACTATTATAAGCAAATTCAAGTTATCTGCCTATGTTGACTATTAGCAGGATGATGGCAGTGAAATCAGTTGCTCTATTGGTGATTTTGCTAATATCAATGCTCTTTGGGCCGCACTTATAGTAGAAGAATGCATCCGTCTTGGTTTGACGGTAAATATGTGGTTTATCACTTATCGATCTCGATTTGATATGCGTATCTAATTGATTTTTTTTTTTCCCAGTATTTTTGTGTGGCTCCAGGATCAAGGTCATCCCCCCTTGCTATTGCTGCTTCTAGTCATCCTTATGCAACCTGTATTGCATGCTTTGATGAGCGCTCACTTGCTTTTCATGGGTTGGGTTATGGTAGAGGATCTCTAAAACCAGCTGTTATCATAACATCATCGGGCACTGCAGTTTCAAATCTTCTGCCCGCTGTGAGTTTCAATAATCCTTTAACTTCCACTTTTTGGATGTTACTGAAAATATTCTATTTATTTCTTCTTACTTTATAATGTTTACATCATATTTTAGAATTATATTTCACATGTTTACATTTGTTAAGATTCTTCTAGAGATCTTGCGAATTTTGTGAATGTGGAAGTAGATTTGGTTCTTTATATCTTTCATGTGCTAGTTGTTGTAGAACAAAGATAGCTTGAAGATAAAATTTAAAGAAATTTTATTAAGAACCAAATTTAAAGATCTTAGATTTCAATAATCAAAGTAATATCTTAATGTTTGAATAGTTTTCTTGAATAGTGTACGTAATAATTAAGATAAAGTACCTGATTTATAAGTATAAAAAGATAATAAAAAAAAATCTAGTACATAGGAAAATAAATCAAATAGAAAGAACGAAAAAAACATGAAATCTATGAAATAAGAAAATAATCTAAATAATTAACTATCCTATAATAGAAAAATAACTAAATAGCATTCTAATTAAATAGGAAATAAGAAAACCATGTTAAAATAAGTCTGTTAAAGAAAGGTTAATTTAGGTTAAAAGGTATAAGATAAATTATATCCATGTAATTGATTGTAATTAATTGTTTATTTCTTTTTTCGTCTTAGAAAATTTGTATATATAAGGTTATAATATTTAATAGAATACACGTCAAACTATTCTGAATATGGTACCTTATTTTTATCTTATTATTTGAATAATGATCATGAACTATAAGCTGAGATACCATATTTATAGGCACCAAAATACAATAAAAAATAAGGAATTGACAAACCTAATAAATAGGAAA